TCAGAGGGCTCCACAGGCCAGCCCCACGGGAGGGACGGCCCAGCACCCAGCATCCAGCACCCAGCACCCAGCACCCAGCACCCAGCAGGATGCCTGCTGTCACTCACGTCTCTGAGGTGCCGGAACTTGCCGAGGACGGTGGGGAAGACGGCCAGGGGCACCTTTGCCCCTGCAAAGCCCACCTTGCTGGAGCCGGAGCCGAAGTCACAGATGATGGGCACGCTCATGGCGTCCTGGGGCCCCAACAGGGCTGCGGGGGAGACGGACGGGCGTCTGTGCTGAGTGAGGCCTCCACCCGGCACCGATCTGCCAGCGCGGCCCCGGGCGCGGAGCTCACAGGCGGAGAGACGGCAAATGGTAGTATGAGATCTAGGAAGACCTGATCAGAATACTAACATTGTCAGCTAGACAGCCAACAAGCAGCAGGCAAGTCCTTGACCCAGGCATTCCACTATGAGAGCCCGATTCTTTTTTTTTAACCCTCACCCAAGGATATGGTTCCACTGATTATCAGAGAGCCCCCACCCCCTCCCTGTTCCTGGCGGGCCGTGGCCTGCTCCACAGGGCTCCTCTGAGGCAGCCCCTTGCTCCTCACTCACGGAGCAGGGCTGGCAAGGTCCCAGCAGGCCCGGGTCCCAGCCGCCCCTCCCCTCCCCACTCCAGTACCGCCTCCTGGGCCTGGGCTGGCCTCCTAGCCCCACGTGGACAACAGACCCTCTCCTACCCACTTCCAGTCCACGTTCCGTGGCTGCGCCAGTTTAGAAAACACAACAAAAACAGAGAACAAGGTTATGACCACCCACGGCCCTGCCCCTGCGGTTGCCAGTCATATACATTTATTTAATATATTTGTATTATCTCAGAGAGGAAGGGAGAGGGAGGGAGAGAGAAACATCAGTGATGAGAGAGAATCGGGGATCGGCTGCCTCCTGCACGCCCCCCACTGGGGATGGAGCCCACAACCCCGGCCTGTGCCCTGATGGGATTGTGCCATGACCTCCTGGTTCCTAGGTCCACGCTCAACCCCTGAGCCACACCAGCCACCAGCTGTATTTGAGCTGGTTTAACCCGTCTGTGTGTCACGTTTTAAAAAGTGGTTATGCTCAAAAAGGAATCCAGCGCCCTGAACCAAGTCTTGATCACGACCGATGTTTCCTTTAGAGGCGATTTCATTCCTTTTCAGATCGACAAAGACCCAGGCTCATCACGGAAAATGAGGGACAAGCCCTGCGGATCCGCCCCACAGACGCCATTGTGATTGCGGGGAGCGCCGTCCAGTCCTCCGCACAGCGCAGCCTGTGCCCCGTGGCCGC